CTGTATTTATGTGGGTGACTACTTGCTTAGTACAGATAGACGAACCTTGCTTGGTGACTCACCAGTGCCATTTCTCTCGACATCGAAGGCATTTCTACCTTTTCTGTCCAAAGACTGACTTGGCATGATCTGATCTACCTTGTCTAAGCTAGTGTGTTCATGTACAGGGTAGTAAAGCTGCAAGAAGGAAATACTGTTTTAGGTGTACTTTCTGAATGGTGAAACACTCTTACAGACTTCTGAAGCCATGACAGAAAGAAGGTGGTAACTGGTGGAAAATAAGAATCTTAAAATCCTTCAGATTTACTCAGGTCTGATTGGATTTATTTTTTATTGCATTTAGTTAATTGTTTAACATTATTATACTCTTTATGTTATTACAACCTCCAAAGCGGACTGTATATATGTATAATGTTAGTACTGCTTGTGGTCCATTCCAGTAATATTTTAATCAGAGGTTCTTGAAACAGCAATTATTATCTTTAAGAGGAAATCATGGCAGAAATCTTGATTGAATTAACATGTGAAAACTGTAATGGAAACTGTAATGGATAATGTTAACCCTGTACGATGCTAGCAGAATTTTCCTTTGCTGTTTTATTACATTTGAACAGATAAATACATTATACTTGCTGTGGATAGAGAGGGAACTGATGACGGTATAATACAGCCGATAGTCTAGTTATGGTGAGAGAAAACTGTTTCTGGTAGTGAAATTGCTTAGAGGTATAATGCTTTAGGAAGGTGGTCCTGCAAACCATAATCTCTCTCACAAAGGCTACTAGTCTGAACCTCACAGCAATATCTGGTGGTGCTTCTCATGTAATTTTCTTCAAAACTTAGCCTAGAGCAGTTTTTTGGAGGTCTCATTTCATATTCCAAGGGACAGCCATTTATATTATAACCTCTGTCAGTGCAGGGCTTACAGATTTTCTCAGGAGCAGTGAGCTGGAGAGTGGGGTAGACCTGCTTTATTCCACTCATACATACGAAGCTTGTTTATCTGAAGGAGAAGCCATGTGGGCAGACAGACATCTCATTAACTTCTGCAAGGACAATCAGCTTGCCTGTGTACTGGGCAATGGAAAGAGTTTTGGCTTCCCCTGTGTTGAGGCACTTAGTGAACAGAGACAGAGCATTGCTACGTGCTTTTGTGAAACCGAGGGCTGGAAGTTTACCTGGAACTTATGCAAACTGCTGGATAGTGTGGTGAAGGGAAAGGTGTTCCATGGCTGCTACCACCCATGTGGGCCCCCAGGCAGAGTTTGCTTTGCAGTCAGCAGTAACTGGCACTTCTGCTAGGACACTCTGCAGAGAAACTGTAGAAGCTAAACTCTGTGATGCTCACAGAGGTCCCTTCAGAGCAGGTTTGAGAAAGCTGACAGGGGACCTTGCTCTTCTGGGCTGTCAGTCTGGCTTGGCTGCATGCAGGAGCATTGGGGAGCTACAAAGCAGGGTGTGGCTCATAAGGTAGTTGAAAGTTCGATTAAATTTACCATAAAAGTAATGGGGTATGTGGGAATGTTGGATAGACAGCCATACATATGCAGCTTAACAGAGCCTGAGTTATTTTTTTTGTTATTCTTTGTATCATAGCTGTTCTCGGAGCTTTGTGCTGTGATTAGCACTATTCATCTCAGTAACTTTCAGTCAGGTTTCCTCTTTTGTCTGCAGTAAACACTTGACGGTGGTATCAGGACTGGGGTGGCCCAAGATAGAGTCACATCAAACTGCAGTATGATAAGGTTAATTTCTAAAATACAACTGGAGCTCATCAAGCCTTGAAGATCATGGCTTAGGAAGTGCTAGCAAACAGAGGGGATGGCCGGTCCTTCCCGGCTGCCAGTGGGGTCAGCCGCTGCCCAGCAGGTGCATGTAGATCAGGGACTTCAGCCTGCCCTCAGCGGTGTCAGAGCGGTGGCTTTTCCAGCCATCGCATGCCAACAGCGTGTAGCTGTCCTGGCGCCACAGGTGCTCCGTGGCCTGTGCCACTGTCTCTGGTGGGCAGCTGGAGGCTCTGCGCAAGCAGCACGAGAGGCTTCCGAAACTCCTGTGGGATCTGCACAGTGTTAACGTGGGAGACGTATTACTCCCTGAGGATTCATAAGCAGCATTGACGAATTTGTTGCAATCCGCATTTTTGTCACGGTTGTACTGTAAGGTGGGAGGCTTGAAGGGTTTAAACAAACACTTATGTTAGATTTGTAGGTCATACAGCAACAACAGTCCTATTAGTCACTTGCTACAAGTTATTCTTATTGAGCACTTTCCGCAAAATCAGGATCTCTGTCTCCTATATGAAGGAGTAGATAAGAAAGCTGCTACAAATAGTGATTTGCTCTTGATCAGCACCGACTGCTTTCCTTCACCGGCTGTAGTCATTAGAAGGTTGTCAACTTTAAAACAAAGGAAAAAGTCACATATATATGTATGCAACCACTGAAGTGCACTGTAAATCTTCAGAAAGATAACCTGGAAGCTGTGTATTTAGCCTTTGCAACAGAAATTGTTTAATTACCTTGTTGGTCTCACACAGAATTTACATTCTTTTAGTTAGTGTTCTATTTTGTTTAAAGTCACTAAACACTGTAAATCCTGTGTAACAGGACAGCAAACAACTGTGCACTGTAAAAAAATATATTGAGACAGATCCTGAGCAAACAAATCTGCTTGTTTTTCTTTATCTTTATTTTTTATTCTAGTTCTTATTTTTACAAATCCCTGTGCTTGGAAACGATTTAGATTGTGTCTGTTATTTCAGAATTTACTTCTTAACATCACTGAAATCTGAAGAGGAAGGAACAAAAAATGCATTTTAAAACAAACTGTGAAGGAAGATGAAGAATAAGTTGAAACAATTAAGCCTCTTAAATGAGGTTCTGATATTGAATTTTTTTTTGAAACAATCTTTTCATCAGATCATATTGGACAAATCTTTAATGAACAACTGGGTTTAAGTCTTTGTGAATATTTCAAGATTTGTGGTGTAACTGTGATTTTTGCATTTCAGAAGCAGTTATTTCTCCAACAACAGAATTTATTTTATTTGCAATAGTCAATAGAATTAAAAAAAAAAGAGAAATCTTTAATTAAACATATTAGCTGATCTTAGATTTTGAAAAAATAGCAAGATTTTTTTAATTTCTGAAGATTCCCCAGATTTTCAGATGACCTTCAAGACTATTCCGAATTGGAAAAAAAACCCAAAAAACTATTGAATAATATTTGTACTTCAGGCATTTAAGATACATTAGGATATTGATATTTCTTATATTTCCTTGAGGAAAAAAATTAGTCCTGCTCCTTTCAGAATCTGACTGTCATTGAGACAAGCAGGTCAGCAATTTTTTCCACTTTTTTTCTGTGTAAAACAGAGCACCTGAAGTTTATTGTTAGGGATGAAAACAGTAAATTAACAGGCTTAGAGAGGTAAAGAGTATCAAACAGGAGTAAATGACAGAAGCTGTTTGTATTATTTTTAATATAAAAGACCTGAGGAACACGTCCCCTGGATTTCACAAAATAAGTTGACCTCTTTCTTTAATGTTCATACAGCAGCAACTGAAAGGATCACATAAATCTGCCAAGTGAAATGTAGTTATTTTTTACATATTTAAAAGAGATAAAAAGGGTCTGTTTTCCTCTTTACATGCGATGCCACAAAAGTGCAACTGCTCATCGAGGGATAGAGCAGTGCGGAGGGGTGACCAAAGAGAGAGAAGGAAGAAAACTTCCAGCATCCGTCCTCCGCAAAACATATGTCGGAGGTTTTAGTCTTCAGATGTGTTATCATGAAGCTATCAGTCTAATCCCAATGCGTATTCCCAAGTAAGCTGTCGTGTTTGCGTAAACACCTAGTATGGATAAAAACTCGGTACAATGAAGTGCGGAAGAAGCATGTGTTTGCACGCTGTGTGTCCAGTTCTGGCATTAGTTGTTTGGCAATGATTGCTGACACAATGATGCTGGTTTTCTTCTGAATAAATTTGGCAAGACTTTCTCTAAAGTCCATTATTTCTGGGTTGCCAGAAACACATCTAAGGAAAAGGCTGCTCAGGGTCTGCTCTGGTTACTGAGTAGAGACAGCTGAGGTCTTTCTTTGAGTATCCATCTTGCAAATGCTGTTGGGTATGGTACCTACTGCTAGTTGGTGCCTGGTAAACATGTGAATGCCATTGGGACTTAAGCTCCTCAGTGACAGAGTGCTTTTGCAATGATGACTTAAGTTCGAAAGTTGTTGAATTGCCTTTGAAAATATTTTCTTTCTCAGACATTTGTCGAAAAATTTATGGTACTTGCTGCTACCCTTGACTCACAGCTACCCTTGGCTACAAGTGTTTACATGATTGGGCCCTGTGTTATCCAGTGTTCCTTAGGCATGGATACCTTTTGGAAAGAATCTGTAAAGAAAGCAGGTTTATTGAATATTAAAGGTCCTCCGTTCTCGTGGGGACCCACGCACCTCAGAGGCACATCTTGAGACTGAGGCAAGATAAACTGCCGGGTTGTAAGAGGGTAGGAAATCGCACAGGAAGCTTAACCACCGAACCTTTACATTGTGTTCTTGAAAAGAGCAAACCTGTACACTGTAGTGTATTTCAGTAGCTCTTAAATAACATCCGTGGTGCCATATAGTGTCACTTGTATGGTTTAGTTGTGTCTGCTCTATATGTTTGCATCTGAAATTTTTGGGGGGCTTTCATAAACAAACAGGACACTTAGTGTAAGACAGCAGTAATACTACTTGCAACTGAGATCAACGCAATTATTTTTCTTTCAAATAAGTCATACTTTCACAAAAAGAAAACTGTGAAGTAGAATCTCAAGTAATATTCACAAATTTGGTTTCTTATTTTATCTTAAGTCGTGCCATTATTAATGAATATTGGCTTAACCCTGATTGAAATTCATTGTGTTCTAGTTTTTGCAACATGTTTAATTTATGTTTTGTTTTTTCTCTCTCTTTCTCTCTCTCCTTACCTCCTTCCCCTTTTCAACAGTCCTGGTACCTGGGCTAGCTTGGTTCCTTTTCAAGTATCAAATAGGACACCGATCCTGCCGACAAATGTCCCAAATTATGGTTTGAACATAATTGGAGAGCCTTTCCTTCAAGCAGAAACAAGCAACTGAGGGAAAAAATAAAAAAAAAAAAAATAAAAGCAAAATTAGAAAAAAAGAAAGGAAGACAGGACAAGAAAAGAAACTGAAGAAAGAAGAAAAAATAGACCAGCAATTGCAGCTCTTACAATCACTAATTCCCTTATGGTTGAAACTGAAATGACATACAAAGGGTCGATGATATTTCGCTGATGGTTAGAATGCAGCCCCTGCTAAGTAGCCTTTGTTATATGAAGTCCACTGGGAAATAGATGTTCTGTCTCTGACAATATATTTTAACTGACTTTCTAGATGCCTTAATATTTGCATGATAAGCTAGTTTTATTGGTTTAGTAATCTTGTTGTTTACGCATGGGATCACTATTCCTGGTTATCTCACAAAACAAAGGCTAGGCAGCAGCAACAGAGCTGCAGGAGGACAAGGGCTGTGAGCCAGCCATTTTCTCAACACTCTGATTTCTAAATGTTTTAAAAATAAGCTCTGTAGCCTTTAGTTATCAGTATGGATTTATTAAACTTTGGCCCTTAATTCAGCCTTTTCTAGTGTGTTATGCAGTTTGAAGTTTTCAATCAGTATGAACACACAGGCTCTATGGAAGAAATGCCTCTACGTAGGTAAAAGTGTTATCTCCTCATGCAACAGTAAAAAGGAAAAGGAAAAAAGTGAATGTTTTCCCCACTAAAGAAACACTTACAGAGGCAAGTGCAATTTAAAAATCATATCTAAGGGGTCATCACTATAAGTCCTTCAGCCCTTGGACTCTAAATTGAGGGGATTAAAAATAGAAATAAAAATTACTTTGAACAAACTTATTTTTCCCCTCAGTTTTTGAGGGCATTAAAAGGCATTAAATCAAGACAAATCATGTCCTTGAGAAAAAGAAATCAATGGAAACACAGCACTTATGTTGGTTTAGCTGCTGCCTCCAGAGAGGGGTAGGATTTATTTATTTAAAGTTACTGGTTGCATCAAGAACCCATAGGGTTTACATGTTTCTGTAAAATCTGCATCATAGAGACAAAGAGATAGGCAAATCCATGTCACAAGGGCAAAGCTTACCGTTTACAAACTGGTAATACCAGGATGGGGATATGTTATATTTAAATAATGCACTCTTAATGTAAGTCTAATTACAGGGTGCTGAAAACTTGCATGGTGCTTTCAGAAGTTAGCCTTGTTCAACAATTTTCACATACTGACAGAAATATAATGTGCATGGGCAGACATTTTGCCTCTATGTCTCTTTAAAAAAAATAATTAAAATACTCTTTCCAGTAATCCTAATTTGCACGAAGATATAATGTCCACATTACGTGCCTTGCCTTGAAATCTAAAAAATGGAAAAAAACAAAAAAAGAAAAAAAAAAACACAAAAAAATTGACATCACTACACTTGTTTTGCTGCATTTATTATCATTTTAAATCTTTACCATTTTTATGACAAAATATTTTGTACTCCAGATGGGAAAAATGTGTGACATCATGGATTTTTTAGACAGTTATACCTTTATCTCACATTTATAAAGCATATCATGGCTGTGTATAGTTGCCGCTTAAAACTTGTAATCGACCAGCAATATTTTCAGTATTTTGGTGTTTTTTCTATTAACCTTTCATGTTTTTCATCTTCCAATTAATATTGGGGGGAGGGGATATAAATTTATATGAATTATGCAATACCAAGTTTTGCCTATGTAGGTAGTGCTTTTAGCTGTATTGGTTATTATAGGTAAGTACACAGATTTAAAAGAAAAAAAAAAGAATAATGTATGCTTTTTTTGTTTGTTTTAATTGACCAAAGTGGGTACTGCTATTTTTGCAGTGTGATGAGGTCCTTTTCTGTACTGAGAGGTGGACAGGGGAATTTTTTTTATACATACATATATATATATATTCTGGGGTGGGTGGGGAGGATTTTTAACACTTTACAGTGTAGCTGTGAAGCAGTGCACCCTTAGCCAGGCAAGGGCTGCAAAGCGACTGTTCTGCCTACTGTGACAAACTTTCAAATCGGTTCCCTCTTTTTAACTTCCCACCTGGGGTGCAAGCTGAAATCATTTCTGGATTTAAAAAATAAATAATGAATTCTGTTGGAGGCAGACTTGACTTGAGGAAATTGTTTTACTTTGGGTTTTTTTTTTCTTGAGAAAGTGAGAGAGAGAGAGAGAGAGACAGACAGACAGACAGAGAGGTCAAGACCCACAGTGAGATGAAGCCTTTTCCATTCTGGCAAAGATACTGCATCCTAAAGTGTTCGGATTAGAAAATGTTTTTAGCTCAGAATGACAAAGACACTTGCTTTGTCTAGGAAATGCACATACAGGGCCAAAATCTTTGCTGGCATAATTCCACTGACTAGTTGACTCTGGAGTTGCTCCTGCAGAGAATTTGCCTCCCTTAGTCTGCTTGACTGGTAACTATTCCTTTTTTTTTCCTCTACATCAAAACATTCTTTCCTCACTCTCCCCACCCCCCCCCACCCCCAAGTTTGTTAACTCACAGCATCTGAATTACAATTTTCAGCCTGCTCAGGCTGTGTCAGATGTTTTCAGTGTCTTCTCGTTAAGCAGGTCAGATGGAGAGCTCTGGGCCGTAGTGGGGAAGGAGTTTCTTAATGCACAGAATTAGACTATGATGTAAATAAAAGTGTATTTCCAGTAAAATCACATTTTGCAGATCAGTAGTGGGCCTGTTGCTGGAGACCTCTTATGCACCAGGGATCTTTGTGATGTATGGCTCAACACAGGGTGAATTTTTCTTAAAAGCACATCCTTTTATTAGGGCACAAGCAGAGGAGAGTATAGACTTGTGGACATGGATATTTCCCTGGTGGGAAAATTCATCCCTTTGCAGTTGTCTCTGCATTTTGGAGGTTTTCCTACCCTGGAGCAGCCCCAGAGGTGCAGCTCCAGCAACAGCACACCAAAGTCAGTCCCTTCTGGTTCTGGCCAGCGCTAGCGTGCAGCGGCTGACGAGCCGTGGTGGTGGTGCATCCCCATGTCTCCAGCAGGAGATACGTGTGTAGGCAGGGCCTGAACGGCTACAGAGACAGGGACTGTAGAAAAGCAAATCCTTGCTATTTATCTATCGCTAAACTGAAAAAAAGAAAACCCCACATAAAAAGATAAGATACAAACCAAAAATGAAAATCAACTTTATGTTGCTCTTTTTCTGAGCCCTGGAGTAAGTGAATTTGTTCACTAAGCACATGGCTATTGAGATTACCAAAATGTACTAGACCTACCCAGAGTGCACCTCAGGCTCTGGCCTGGTAGAACAAAGTATGTATTGTCCTTTCTGCATGCCACTGATGCTGAGCAGTTCGGGAGCAGAAGGGTGTGCCGGGGGGGCTGTCCTTGATTAGTGCCGTTAGCAAGGTGTCCCCCCTTAAGCTTTTAATAGCACACCAGGATGAAACTGAAACAAGTTCAGGCTTCAAAGTGCAATAGTCAAAATGATGATTGCCCTTGTAGGAAGATGGATGCCCTTTACAGAGCTTTTTTGTTATCTCTGACCTCCTGTACGAAAAGAATCGAGCTTACGATGCAGTATTTTAAAAAGTGAACTCCTTCCTTCCATGTGAATGAATTGAGTTGTTAAGCAACTGTGGGTTTTTTTCACCTGCCTCTCTAATAGAAAAGCCTGTTTGGAAGAAAATGAACTTTTCATTTATTGTAGGTTTGGTTTTGGGTTGGTGGATTTTTTGTGTTTGTTTGTTTGGTTTTTTATTGTAGGTTTGGTTTTGGGTTGGTGGTTTTTTTGTGTTTGTTTGTTTGTTTGTTTTTTTAAGCTCAGCAGTCAAAAGATTGAGATGAGATTGAGAACTCAAATCCAGTCTCTGGCCTCCTCCTTCACCAGGAAGTGTATTCTGACTAAATCGAGCCACCCCGTTCTATGTGCACTGTTCTGCCTTTATTAAGTTGCTTTGCAGCCCTGGCCTCATGGCTGTGCCACTGAAGTGTGTTTCCCCTGGAGTGACATGAACGTCTGAGGCTTGACTAAGGGAAAAAAAAAAAGGCAGTGAAGGAGACTGTACATAAAGACATGGCAAAAATATTAATTATAGCAATATAGTTGTGGGGTGATGTTCAGGTGGGCAGCTCCATTGAAAATATGTGAATGAATTTGTGAAGCTGCAAGTAGCGAGAAGAAAGGAGGATCTTCTGAATGAACGGCCTACCTTGTAGACAGTAATTTGTACACTGTATAGTTTTGTTAAGAATTTTTTTTTTTTAATTAAAATACCCTTGTTTGTAAAGCTAACTTTTTAACAATTATAATGGAAATGCATGCCGTTTCCATTTTTAAAGTAAACAAGAATATTCCTTGTTTGGAAACTGGACTTGGGTTAAAACTCTCCAGTTTCTTAATTTATGTATTAAAAAAAAAATCTGTCCATGTTAGGAGTTATTTCGCAGATTCCTGTGCTTGAAAAGCATAGGTTACTAATCCTTTAAAAATGTAAATGGAGAAAAGTTATATTTTATGAAGGTTATTTTGTTGTATTTAGTATTGGAAAAGTTGGTTTTCAGAGCATTTCAAAATGTTGGAAGCACCACTGTCTTTTTATTAGTATATATGGCCTTTAGCAAAAGTTTTTGTGATTGTTACATGATGGTATTTAAGATTAGGTTCACAGAGCAATTCAGGATAGGCAGAGAACTAAAACAGTACTTAATGTCTCACATAGCTGTGTCCTCAGGGAGCAGAATTTTGGATTTGCAACTTGTAGCTTCATAAGGACTTAATGAAAGAGATTGCACAAGGACATACTCAGCTGTGACACCGGAGTGTGTTCTGTACCTAAATCTAAATTATATTTACTGTGTGAGATTATGAAGGCTGCAGAAAGTTATCCCATATTCAGTGTACAGTATTCACTTTTAATGAAACAACTCTCTAATGTTGCTGGCAGTAAGGCCCCAAGCATGACATCCAATATAGTTTATATGATCCTGTCAAGGTCTTTTGTTAACATTAACCAGCTGCATGCTCCTGGACTTTTTTATTGGGTTTCTATAGAAAACTTGAAAAAAAAAAAAAGAGAGAGTAAAATCATATGCAGGCTAATCAAGTTAAACAGGAAAAGCTCAAAGTTGAATGTTCTACTCCATGCTGAAGGAGCTGAAAACTGCCTCCTTATTTGCACTTTCTGCTAGTTCCCCAGTTTTTTCTAATTCCTCAAAATTGTGTGGGTGTGGTGGAGCACTGCAGTTGGAGGATAACACGGACCACTGATTTTGCCCTTTAACCCTGCACAATGACCTTTGCATCAGCCAAACTTATTGCCATGACAACTCTTTGTACTGTTTCCATGCCACAGCTCTGTTGGTCACATTGTTAATAGTAAAGGGGACAAGTTGGAGACGGTCAATTTTTACATTTTTTGTTGCAATTTTTTCTTCAATGGTTGTAAGTAGTTGTTTTTTTTTTTTTTAATGAGAAAAGGGTTCACTAGTTATTACTCTTTAGAAATATCTGTGTGTTGCAATTCAAATGTATGTTGAATTTGTGAAAAGGGCTTCAGTGCCACTAGCATCATAATATCCTAGAATAAGCCTTTGATACTTTTATTGCATGATAGGGTAACAGTAAAACAAAAGGTGGCCTAAATAAATGGAGAGCAGTGTGAGCTAGTGACACTAAAGCCAGTCTTTGTATTACTGTATTTTTGACAGAATGGTTTTGAAAACTGTGCTACAGGGACTGATGTGGCAAATGTATCTCTATATGCAGAAGGAAGTTTTTTAAGAAGTATGGCTTATTATGCATTCTTCATTGAGGGCATTGAAGTTGCATGGACTGATAAAAGTTGATGCAAAATGAGAAAGAAACAAAAACCAGCAAAATGTTTACCAAAAAACTCAAACAAATGAGCAGTGCCTGTTCAATTTCACAGTCTCTGTTGAGTTCAGTTGTAAATATGTTTCAGATAACATTTTCTTCAAAGAAAAAAAAAAATCTCTACAACATTGTAGAATGTGAGGGGTCCCTTGATCCCAGGCATAGGCTTCTCAAGAGCTGCATTAGATTATGTCTTCATCAAGCTGTTAATTTGTGCTTATATCATATAGAACTTTTAGTAAGCTGGGAAGAGGCACCCCATCTCAATGATATTTCTCTGAGAACAACTTTTGTAGGGCTGTGTGTTTCTTTAGCTACATTTAGTACAACTGTAGGTGACAAGTAGTCAGTTATTGCTTGCTAGCTACACACCAGGGTTGATCCATTTTAAAACTTTTGGCATTTTTCCCCATACTGTAGGCCATAAATCCTGAAGGTTACATTTTAATTAAAAAGGAGGTGCGTTCACAGTCTTTGTGTAATGAACCTTCACTAGTAGGATGCATTACAGTACAGCTACTTAATTTTGGAATTAGGGCCCTCTGGCATCAGACCTGGTTTTAGCCTGACTGTTAACAAAGGTTTTTATTGTGCCTGGTTGGAGGATAATAATGTTCTTTTTGGTACTTTTTTTTAGGTTACAAATGAACTCAACTGCCGCAAGTTTTAAACTGGTGTAAATCAAGCTTGACTTAATGTGATTGTTACTGTTATATCCAGCCTATACTGCTAGCAGCTGCTCATACTGCAGTCAATTACTGGAAGCGGATATATTTCCTATGCAAAAACTGTTTAAACAATAAAAATGAGCTATGCTACAGACCCTGGTCTTATGTTTTCTTTTATATCTCTAAGAGTCATAAGTAGTAATATCTTAGAAACTAACCTGAAACCTTGTACCCTGATAGCATGGCACAGCTTATGGAGTTCTGTGTATACTTAGTTTAGATTTAACGTATTTGTTTGCATACATTTTGGCTTAGCGGTTACACTGAAAAAGGAGGAGAACAGAAACAAAAGAAGATACAATCAGATAATCAGTTCAATTTAAAAGTTTATGTTTAGTTTTCATCATCACGTTTTACCAGTCCTAGTAAGTATACAGGTTACCTGAACTGCTTCTCCTGTGATGTAAGATTGAGCATGGTAGTGGAAGGGCAGGAGACCTCTGTTTTCTTTCAACGTTGTTGACTTGTGACAGACAGTAAATCT